AGCCTATGTCTTCTCCCGCACAAGGCTTCACGAGCCAATCAACACCCCGAGGTCAACCGAGGTCCCCTCTGCCTGTTCAGGTGGACATTAAAGATCTGAGGCACATTGTTTAGGAAGAGAAGGGAGTGTCCCCCAGTGTCCTGGCTAACAATCCTGCAGATAAAATTGGTCACCTTTTATGGCTGTCTGGAACATTACTATATCCAAAATTAGCTGTTATGTTCACCTCCAAAATACAGTCATAAGTCTTTACTGTACTTGCTTTAAGTCATCCTTCTGAGGTGAAAAGAATTCAATCAAATGTAAGGATTATTATCATATAATTACTTGTACAATATCTCCCCAAGCACTGTGGAACTTAAATGGAAAGGGATCTAACTTTTTGTTATAATCTATTTGTAAATATATGTGTTCATGTTTTACTTTACATTCTCCAAGGTTGCTGTTTCTCTTGTTACATCTGACATTCTACGCATCTTTGTAATGAAGTACCACAGAGTGCTTTTATAACAATGCACAGCCAGCCAAGAAATAATGATATTTAACAGATTCTAGGAATTAATTATTAGCATTTAGTTGTTTGCACCAAATTTTTCACAAAGATGGTTTATGTCTTAGAAATGTTACATAATATTAACTTTGACTGAGTGCCACATGAGATTACAAAATAATATCAGCGAGTGTTCGTAAAATCTGGAAGTGGATTAGTAATTGGCTAAAAGGAAGGATGCAAAGGAAAATGGATTCAAACGAGGGGAGGGATTGAGTAGAACACCTCAGGGTTTGTGGTGGGATCAGTCCTGTTTCTACTTGAGTGTACGTAAATGATCTGGGTTAGCATACTCAATGAAGGGAAAAATAATGGGAGGGGCTGGCGGGAGGGAGGGGAAAATGAATGATTTAGAAAGCCAAGATCTTACAAAGAGAGTTGGACAGAGTATAGAGAAACCTTCCTCGGTCGGCTGGGTTCAATGTTCAATGTCTGTTATATGAGTGAGGTGTGAAAAATATCTGTCTCCCAGATCATGAGGTCGCTGCTGATGTCACTTCTTCCATGCAACGCACAGAAAATGATGTCAGTGACTCGGAAAGAGGACAATTTTTAGTGTGGGATGCTGGCTAGTCAGCTGTAGAAGCTAGGTGCAATAATAATCCTTATTATACTTGCATTTGCTTTAACACCTTTTCACATTAAGAGGACATCTCAAAGCGCTACACAGGATATACTGTAAAGTGTAGTTACTGTGTATTTTGTAGGCAAACAGGATCTTTACCATTTGCCTGAACCGGCAGACAAGACCTTGGTTTAAAGTCTTATCTGAAGGACAGAATCTTCAGCAAAACAGTACTCTTAAAGCACTGCATTGGAGTGTCAGTTTAGATTGTGAATTCAAAGTTTTGATTTTGGGGTTGAACCCGCAATCTTCTGACTCAGAGGGGAGAGTGTTAGTAACCTCTGAACCAGGCTGACAATATCCCATACAGCAGGCCCATGCTATAAGCGAGACAGCACTTTAGCAAATGATGCTGTTGCCTAAAAATACACAGTCAAAACCTGTGAAGCACTTAGAGACACCATAACAATGTGATAAGGTGCTATATCAAATGTAAGGATTATCAAATGCGAGGATTATTATAATTGAGTTCCCTTGCATGTATCTGGGCGGAACACTGATAAATGAAGCTCGGTACGGATAACTGAAAGGTGCTGCGAAATGTAAGTAAAAATAAGTCACACACACTCCATGACAAGATGGAACTTGCCAAGAGAGGAGTTGAAGGAGACAAGGTGGTGTAGTTGACTTATCACTCATCGTGTCCAAACAGTGCAAGGCAGCAATAAACAAGGAAAACAGTGTTGCAAAACTCCTACTCATGTCATGTTGCTATGTACAGAAAAATAAATCGCAACTCTTTAATCCTGAACTGAATCTTGCTCTACAGCTCTACAGTTGTCAACCACTGGGAACATATGTTTCTCAAACTGTCCCAGGGTGAAGGTGACAGTGGCTTTACAGACAATTTGCTAACAATTAATATGGACGTTTAAACAGTGTTGCCTGTCATAAATAACAAGTAAAAATGGTGCAGAGCCCAAAGAAAACAATAGTATTTAATGAGATATTAAACCAAGATCGTGTCTGCCTGTTCGGGTGGACATAAAAAATTCCATGACACTATTTGAAAAGAGAAAGTAGTTTCTCTTGATGTCCAGGCCAATAATCCCCTAAAAAAAACTGGTCATTCACTTCATAGCTGTTAATGGACACTGCTATGTGCAAATTGGTTGTTGGATTTCTCCTACAAAACACATTAGAGTGTATCCTGTGAAGCACATTGTGACAGTGTCCCGATGTTAAAGGCACTATACCAATATAAAGACTATTATTTGTTTTACTTAATTCAAGATCTCTCTGGGAATGGAACTATTTGTCTGGGGAGAGTAAACTACCTCTCTGCATACAAACACCTGCATAAACTGAAGCTAGAGGAATGATTCCACATGTTGTGTTAAAAATTACTTACACACTGGCATCCCTTTCTAACAGATTTTCTTATTGTAGGCTAGAGTTCTGAGAGCCATTCATACTCTACACAATTCATTTGTTTGAGGAGATGTGGAAACGTCCATTATATAAGCAGTAGGAAACCGGGAAGCATTTAATTAAAAATTATTTTGATCACCTGAGATGCACAATGTGAGGCAATACTTTCTGGTTAAGTCCTCCTCTCATGCTTCACATGAACCTGAAGCAATGTATGTTAATCCTGGTATGATCTTTACGTGGCCCAGCACAGTATGCCTTCTGTCAGTGCTGGACTCAAAGGTCACCTTTGAACCCATTACAGAGCAGCAGCACTTTGAGCTTATTGAGCCTACACCTCCTGATTATTTGGGTGTGCACCTGACTCCATGGAGTCCTGGAGCTCAGTGTTTAGAGCACTTGCCTCGCAAGCGAGTGGGCATGGGTTTGATTCCCAGGCAGGGCGAAACCTTGGGCAAGTTTCCTTACTCCACGTGACTTTGTTTACCTAACAGTAAGTAAGAACCCGGTTGATAGTTGATTGGTGGATCGCTTTTCTGGGGGTAATAATCCCTTTTTTAAAAAATTCACTCTATCCACAACTCTTTGTTTGACTCTGCTGGGTGCGATTGCTGATGCATTTTGCCCACAAAATATAGTCAATTCACTTTACAGTATATTCTGTGAAGTTCTTTGAGATGTCTTGAAGACATGATAAGGCACTATATCAAATGCAAGGATTGTTATTATTTAGCATAGAACATTCACTCTCTAGAGACAATGTTGTTATCTGTCTGCAAATGATTCAGACTAGCTCCACTTATGAAGTTGAATAAGTCATATTCCTTTATGTCACCTATAAACTCCTAACATTGGAAACCATAGCACCTGACTGATAATTTAGTGTGTTGTAGTAATGATAAAAATAAAAAAAGTGTTTGCAGTTGATACAACTGCTATAGCATTGAAACATCTCAAACCACTTCACAGGGAATTGCTATAACTTTTAATCTCTCCTCCAACTCATACATCCATTTGGATACAAAATACAAAATTGTTACACTTTACAATCAATCCTGTAAAGTGCTTTCAGACCACCTCCCTATTTGAAAGGCTGCATCAAATATAAGGATTATTATTCAATATGTTTTATTGGGGTTTTGTGACATGTTAAAGGCTTATTTTGTGTACACTTGTACAGCAAAGTAAAACCATGTAATCCTTGAATATATATATATATATATTTGTACGCACATTTGCTTAAGTCTTTGCCTTGCTCAAGCAACTATTTTGTAAGTGTCCTTTGGGGGTCCACGGGATTTGGGTGTTGATAACTGTGACTCAGAGCTGTTTACATCAAGTTGTACAAAATAATAATTTTCAGGCATTACAGCATTTACAATTTTAAAACTGCAGATGATAGGGAAATTAAACAGATAGTTTTTAAATGTCAGGTCCACAATTACATTTTACTGTTGTATTTAATGCACTTCACTCAAAATCCCAGTATGGCTTTTTTAATACACAAGGTCAGATCTGCCCTGCAATAAAGAGGAATGGGCAGGGACTAATGATAGTTGGTGTGTGGTCTAATGGTTCTTGACATGATGTGAATTACTCGATGATCCATAACAAAACTCATTCTGTTCTTTAGAGCATTATGAGTCCTGTGTTAATCATTGATGCTTTGTCAAAAAAATGTTTACAGATAAGTGATTAACATCTCCGTGGTTAAGTAACTGAGGACATAGAATCGGTATGTGAATTAGTAGATTTATAGGACTGCCTGATAGGACTCAAAAGAAACCTATTGCAAAATAAGGTGTTGTAGATATATGACTTGCATGTGCACTGCACCTGCCTTACAGATTTGGCTCTGAAAAAATAACATTTCCTGATCTAGGGACACGAGTAGAACATTCAGTCCATCAGCTTATTTTACCTATTTTATACAATACTACCTGTACCCATTGCAGCTACGCTTGCAACCAAAGCATCCAATATAGAATGTAGATTTCAGTGATACCACTCACAAACCATTTAACATGCCATAAACACTGTGAGTACATTTTAAGCAAAACTGCTACATGTGTGATGAGCTTGTTTAGGTCATAGCTCACCAACGATAGGAGATCCCTGTAAATATGCCCATGACATTCCCAGATGCAAGACCTTTCAGGTGAGGTACATATCATGTCTATATGTCAATCGGTTATTGAGATCTTGGCTGATACACACACACACAGACATTGTCGTTTTATTAGTATAGAAGACTTATGCTTATATTTGTACCTTTCACGTCAGGAGGATGGCTAAAAATACTTGCTTGAATTTTATTATCCAAGTCTTCCATTCATTTTGCACTGTTTGACCAAAACACAAAGATATAGTCAGAAGGTGTTAACTATATTTTTTAAAAAATATCTGAACCTCAAAAAAAATGATCCCAGCATATTGAATTTACATGTTTTGCAGATCGAAAGCCAGCAACTGCTTACTGCAAACAGACCCTCAGAGTTTAAACTCAGTGATGCTGTCTTCCAAGCTGCCAGGGATGATCTACACAGCAGATGAACAGTGTCAGATCCTCTTTGGGCCTACGGCTTCTTTCTGCAAGGAAATGCAGGTAGGTTTTTGTGCCTTGCTTATATGAGACCTGTTATGATTTACACAGGACACAATCTATACAATGATTTAATCTGATCCTTTTGGCGTTCTTTATCTGGGCTCCAGAGATGAAAAATATGCATTAGAGAGTGGATCTTATGCTGATCTTGCCCATAAAATACACAGTTACAAAATTTTACAGTAGTGTAAAAAACACATGGAAGGATGCATCCTGCTTACTTAATTCCGAGAAGTATAAGGCGCAGGTTGGCAATAGCCAAGGCTTGGGGACCTCAGAGTCTGCACTGAGAATTAGCTGGTTAGTCTCCAGCAATACCCCACTGAGTTGGGGTACTGCTGGAGTCTAACCAGCTAAAACCACAGAGCTTGCCAATCAAATAAATACTAAACAAAAAATAAACACAAAAGCTACTCTAGGGCTTATTACCAGGGTCAATAGAAAATTGTGCCTAAAATTGTGGGGAAATTTGACGAATTTTGCGGAAAATTGCGGGGGTTGATTGGTGCTTTTGAGAGGCACGTTTTACTGCTAACCTACATTTTTGTACCTACAAGATCATTTGGGGGAGGCCAGAGATGAGGCCCCAAACCTGGGAGAGAAGTGAGAAGTGGAATGAAGTTGTAGCTGGGAATATGCCGCTTTCATTCACATTGTGCCGGTATCCACAGACATTAAAGCAAACAAAAGATAATATCAAAGATGGCAGTGATCTAAGTCCAAAAGATCTTTTTATTACGGAATGCATCAAGACAGTAGAACAAGTGGATACAGGTTTAGAGTTGCAAAGGGCAATTTCAGGACGAGGAAGATTTTCTTTATGCAGAGGATAATTAACGACTGGAACAGGTTGCTAAGAAGGGGTGTTGAGGCCAGGACATTGGACTCATTTAAAAAACAGATTTATTGCAAGGATAGTAGAGTGGGTATTCTGGAAGGGCTGAAGGGGCTTCTTCATCCAAACTAACATTATGATTTTACGAAGAGTTCACTTACTGGGAAGGGTGGGCTGACACCTAGTGGTCGTTTGGTCTGTAAAGTTGGAATCTATGAAACTGGAAAGTTCATGCTAAAATATCTTTAATAGTATTTGTGCACATGCCATTTGGAATGAATTTTAATTATATTACTGTTTAATTGATTGAAATTATAGGTTATTTGAGTGAAAAATGACTTGCAGGAAAACATTAATTTCAAGCTGTTTAGCTGAATAATGTTGAATTATTTTCACTTTATGGGCAACATTCACAATACATTCTCTTAGTTTTGTAGCCCTGCACTTTGTGTCTTATTTACTGTGTAGTAAATAGATTTGTACTCACTTTGCATCACCAGTGATTGGCTTCAATATATTTAAAGTGGTCATTATTTCTCCTTCTCCAATTGCTCACAGCACACAACCAGGGTAGAAGGGATATAAGGGAGTTGTTCAACTGCCCTGGCCAACGTTCCTGCAATTGAGTTGGGCGTTCGTTTCATGTCTTTTCGTGGGACCTTGCTGTGAGCAAATTTGGCTGCTGTGTTTGTCTCTAAGTACAATCACTACACTTGATAGCAATTACCTTTGAAGCATTTGTGACACTCCAACATTATAGACATCATATCAAATGCAAGGTTTTTAGTTTTTTTCAAACTGACCTAATCCTTGACCACACTGCTAGAGAAGTAACTAGACAAGACTGAGGAGTAATCCCAGAAGGCGAAGATCATCTTCAATCTTCCTTCTTTTCCTGCGGGGAAGCCTTGTGCTGCCCTTTAAGGTCCAATTTGATTTCCCCTCTGCGGAGTGTGTGATCTTTCAAGGCTAGAAACATATGAACTGCAATGTGTTTGAAAACCTGAGCACTACCAGTGGCGTTTAATTCACAAAGCTTTGATGTCTCTACCCAATTGTACTGACAAAGGAAGTGCAGTGGAAGCTCCCAGTAAAAACAAAATCATCCTCTGTGACATCAAGCTATTTTCCCTTCTCATTTCTCCCATTACACACCAATTTCTGGGAATGGTCTCTTAAGCGCTCTCTTGGCCACGCACGGACATTCCAGCCTGACACACTGCAATTATAATAGCACAAAAGAAATCACCTTTCACTGCCAAATAAAATAGATGTTTTAACAGGATGTTGCTAAGAATTGCTTTAGTTGCAACACGCATTGTAAAAATAAAAGCAGGGCTATTAGCTGCAGTGTTATTCTACAGCTTGTTTGTGATGTGTTAAATTAGATGGCATTCAATCTAGCTGTAACTCAGGCTTAAATGAAACGTTTATGCACTAAATGATGTTCCAAACTGATGATATGCCAAACTAATACAATAACTCTTATACAGCATTTAAGCCAAATGAACATTCGGTATCTCAATACAATATATTGTTTCGGTCTGCATGTAAATGATTCCAAAGCCTGGAAAGTACAGAGGAGAACAACTATAAAACATTTGCTTAATTATCAATTGCTGATTTCTTTATTCAGCAGGAAATTTGCTAGGATGTGTGGTTGAGACCAGGATCCTGGACTCATTTAAAAACAGCTTGATGCTGTGATGGGTGTACGATAGGGTGGGTATTCTGGAGAGATAAGATCAAATTGAGCTGAAGAGCCTTTTTTATTCCAAACCAATTCTGTGATCTTTGAGAAATGAATTTGAACTTTTGGATTCAGATCCTCCAACAACAACAATTTGCACTTACTCCACATAGTACCTTGCATCGACCAGAATATCTGAAAGTGCTTTACAGAGACTGAGTGGGAGTCCGAGTTGTGTGGGAGATAGAGGAGCTAAGGGAGAGATTAACTTAATGGTTAGAGAACTCATTTCGCAAGCAAGAGGACCTGGGTAGGACGAAACGTTAGGCAGATTTCCTTACTACACATACACCTCTGTTTACCTAGCAGTAAGTAGGAACCCAGTTGTTAGTCGATTGGTGGATCGCTTTTCCAGGGGGAATAATCCGTACCCTCCAAAAAGAAAACTAAAAAAAATCTACGACTGTTTGTGGGACACTGCTGCCATGTTTCTCCCACAAAATGTACAGTCAATTCACTTTACAGTATAATCTGTGAAGCGCTTTGAGATGTTTCAAAGACACGATGAGATCCTATCAAATGCAAGAATTATTATTATTATCATTATAAAGGTGGCCAAAAGCACAGTCAAAGAGAGAGATTTTAGTGAGGCAGAGAAATTTAGGGAAAGAGTTCCAAAGAGTTGGGGAAAAGTGGCTAAAAATATTGATTACATTCTTCAAAACAAAATCAGAATATAAATAGCTGTGAAGACGCCATCCTTCCCAACTTGTTATATGTTATGGATGCAGATGACAGAGCCTATTTCAAACAGATGCATCAGCATGTGGCAAATAAACCCAACTGCCAATTTGGGTTGATGGGTTTATGAAAGAGAAGTTATACATAACAATATATTCAGATTGAAACCAAATTAGCAAATAAAGGAAATTCGGTTAATATGCATTGACTTTCAGAGCCATTGACAAAGTTTTTAATATTTATTAAAAAGATTTAGGATTATAGGATTAAATTGAAAATTGGATTAAAAAGTATGAATTTGTAACTCAGAAGTAAAGGATTATTATGAATGGAAATAACTGCGAAGAGTTATTGTATTTAAGCATTTCACAGCACTCTACAGTAATAATAGTCAAGTGTAGTGGTTGGTTTTATAGGCTACTGTTGTCTAGTAAGTTGGCCACTGGCCACATGTGACCGATTGCATGTAAAAGTGTGACCAAATGCGGTTCATGCATTATCAGTAATAAAATGTGTTACAAATCGCAGAAAACATTCATGTTACTGTTGAAATTTGCTAATAAGTCTGGTGGTGTATGATCTTCATGACCTAGAAACTGTGCGTTCATTGTGTTGTTCGTAAAACTCAAATACGAATTATAGTCCACTCACGATAGTTAGGTTTGTGGTGCGAAAGAGAAGTGAACCAACCAGTGATATTAAGAGTGGAACTGAAAATTTTAATAGAGAATTGCCTTCTTCACAACCAGCTACTACGAAATCGAGAGATTGGAGTAAATATACCAAAAATTTCGAAACAAATTGGAAATTTGTCATGAAAGTGAAGAGAAACCTCTGTGCATGCTTTGCAAGAAGGCAGATCACATAAAGCAGCATTTTCAGTGTTCGCACTCTTGAGTTTGACAGGAAATTTCTAATTGGTTCCAAAAAATGAACGCAACAAATTTCTCACTTGAAAGAGACGATACAGCAGCAGTGAACTGTGCTTAAGCAGTTTCTGACTACTTCGGAGATCTCAGTTACTAACATTTAATTTGTTAGTTATATTAGTTACTAACATTTAAGGACAAATTAATTTAAGTGACAAGTTGCTTTTTCTAGGATTTCACACTTTCACCTGAGTACACTAATGATTTTCCCTAGTTATCGTGATTTTTAGACTTTTGCTTTAGAAAGTCCAATCAGAATGGGTTCTCAGTTCCTAATACAAGCGTAAATTAGTTCTACTGCCTCACAAGTCAATTGTCTTTGCAAGATTACATGGCTATTATATTTGGTCTGCTACACCAGGTCATACGTTTTCAGAGTTTTAAGTGGCTTTAAAAAGCTTGCCAATCTCTTTTAATTTTATCTGAGCCATTAAGCACTTGGCTTCCATGAGTATTGTTTAATTGTGTGTATTATCTTATTGTGCCAATTCCTGGAACTGTGTCTTGAAGCAATTATTTCACTGGTAACGTATAAAGTCTAATGTACTGAGCTAATTTTACAAGTCCAGTGGGTTCTTTAATTACTACTGAAGTGAATCCAGGTTTTAATAAACCTAAACTTGAAACGTCTGAGCAGAATTGACAGATCCATGTTCACTCATTTGAGCACATGATCATAGAGACGGCTTTTGTTTCTGATTGTTCAACTGTGGCTTGAATGTACTAAACCCCTTTGAGGAAAGTTGGAGGAATTCTGCACCAACAGCAAACATGCAGGAGTTTTTTTTTTCTCCAAAAGCGCAAC